TCTTCATGATAACAATACCTAAAAACTGATCAAGAAACCTGCTGGAGCAAGATTAGTCAATTGTAAATGGATTTTCAAAGTTAAGGAAGGAATCGAAGGAGTGATGTCAAAGAGATACAAGACAAGATTGGTTGCTAGGGGGTTCACTCAGAAAGAAGGTTTCGACTTTAATGATGTGTTATGTCATGTTGTGAAGCACAAATCCATTTGAATGTTGCTTGCCACAGTGGCACAGTTTGACCTTGAACTAGAACAGATGGATGTGAAAACTGCGTTCTTGTATGGTGACCTAGATGAAACAATCCTGATGAGGTAACCTGATGGGTATGTCGAAAAGGGGAAGGAAAATTATGTGTGTAAACTGAAGAGATCTTTATATGGACTGAAATAATCTCCTCTACAGTAGAATAGAAGATTCGACAAGTTCATGGCACGCATAAGTTTCATCAAAAGTCAGTTCGACGGCTATGTTTACTTCAGATTTCGACTAGGTAATTCATTTTTATTTTTTTCTCTATGTGGATGATATTCTAATAGAAATCAACAACGTTGAAGATGTAATGAGGGTGAAGGTTGAACTCAATAATGAGTTCGACATGAAGGATCTGGGAGTTGCGTCCAGGATTCTTGGGATTGACATCTGAAGAGATAGAAAGTAGTCGAAATTATGCTTATCTCAATAGGCATACCTACGGAAGATTCTTGAAAAGTTTGGTATGTCGAATTCAAACATATGCAGTAAGTCTTGTAAGCAGGTACATGGCGAATCCTGGAAAGGCTCACTGACAAGCATTAAAATGGATTCTAAGATACATAAATGAGTTTCTGAACAGAGTCCTAATTTATGGTGGAGTCTTGGGTGAAGATAATAAAGCAGCAATCAAAGGATATGTCGACTCTAATTATGCAGGTTGTATGAATTCTAGAAAATCTATTTCTGGATATGTGTTCACTATGTTTGGGACATGAATTAGTTGGAAAGCATTACTTCAGAAGGTTGTTGCCTTATCTACCACTGAAGTGGAATATATTGCCCTAACTAAAGTTGTGAAGGAAGCATTGTGGCTTGAAGGTTTTACAAAGGAGCTAAAACTTCAAGGTCTAGTTGTCATTGTTAAATGTGATAGTCAAAGTGAAATACACACGTCGAAGAATTTAGCATATCATGAGCGAATCAAGCACATTGATGTGAGGCTGCATTTCGTCAGAGGGGTAATCGAGTATGGAGAAGTCCAAGTGCTGAAAGTTTTGACAGATCATAATCCTGCTGATATGATCACCAAGACGTTGTCCAAGTGCAAGTTTTTCCGCTGTATGCAGTTGATAAAACTGCATGAAGAAAGCTAGATGGAGATTTGTGAGATATTTGATCGAACTCTAGTACGGTCGAAGGGTAACTTTCGGTTCGACAGAAATTAAGCATGAGTTCGAAGTTTGCTCACATGCTGTTGCCGGAATAATAAGAAATTAATAATAAGAAATACATGAGTTATTATTTATAAAAACTAATTTTTATTTGAGTAATACTAACTTATGCTCCAAAGACATAAGAAATAAATGTAGTAAAATTTTATTAAAAATTGTATATTAAAATTAATACAAGATTACAATTAATAAATTTATTATTTTTTCGATGTGTTTATATATTTTTTAACATAGGACCTTATGTGCCCTTAGTATAGAGGGCAAGTTACCGTTACCCTTTTTATTTTTATTAATAATAAGAAATAAGGAGTAATTATTACTACTTGCATTTAAGGTACAGAAACTACATGGAAGTCTGGTAGGGTGAAAGGGCTACACGTGGATTAATCACGGCCAGGACAATGAATTCCAACGTTCACGGATGACAGTCAAAAGCTACATGAGATAACAAACTTTTATGGTTCCATCTGCACGTGTAATGCAATAATTGCAACTGTATCATCACTCATCACCCGTCTTGGAATAAAAATTACATACTCATATTTCTTTAAATAGATGGATTTCATAGGATTAACTGATTTTTTTTATGATTCTTTTAACTAAGGTGACTCAGCCAATTTTTAAGATTTTTTTTTTAAAATAACCATATATTAAATTTAAATTACCACAATAATCAATAATTTAAAAAAATTTCCAAAATGACAAACATTTCCAGCCAATTCGCCATTTAGATTGGCGAAAGAGAAGAAATGGAAAATGAGTTTCACCCAATTCGCCGTTTGGATTGGCGAATTAGCTCATCATTTCCAACCAATTCGCCGTTTGGATTGGCGAATTAGTTCATCCTTTCCAACCAATTCGCCGTTTGGATTGGCGAATTAGTTCATCATTTCCAACCACTTCGCCGTTTGGATTGGCGAATGCGTTTGGCTTCAGTTGAAACATTGTTAGTTTGGGAATTTGTTTGAAAACAAGGTTTAAATGGTAATTAAATTATAAAAAGTTGTTATTTTAAAAAAAAAATTCAATTTTTAAAGTTATCTTATTAAAATATTCAGATAATTCTTACACAAAAATTAGGCATCAATTCTTTCATGTTAAAAGAAATAGTCCCTTGTTTCTTGTTTATTTTAAAATATGTCAATTTAAAAAAAATAAAATTAAGAAAATAAACATTAATATTAAACAATAATATTAATAATCATTTTACCATGGAAAATTTGAACAATATCCCTTAAAATTATAAAATCAAGCTTTTACCACAATTGATATTTTTTAGTTAGAAATTAAAAATTATTTTGAATATACTAATTGTGTAAAATAAAAAGTAAATAAAATATATATGTAAAATATATAAGACACATTTAAATGAATGTAAATGGTTAGCTAAGTGTTCAATCTTTTACTATATAATTTTTTTTTACTGTTTCTAAATTACAATCGTTTTAGTAAATTAAATTTATTTTAAAATAAGTACTTTTACTTTTAAATATAGAAATAATGATTATTTTTTCAATTATTTAATTTAATTATTATTTTGTGTACCACTTCTAATATATATATATATATATATATATATATATATATATATATATATATATATATATATATATATATATATATATATATATATATATATATATATATATATATATATATAATTTAATAAAAATATAATATTTTATAATAATATTATTATATTTTTTAAATCTATATTCAAAAACTTTAAACAATGATTGTTTTAAAACGGATGAGTATTATATCTTTGTGAATTATTTTGATGCTAAATTAACACAGTTAAAATTTTCATGCAAAATCTTCTCAGATATTTTTTGAATTGGAGAAAGCAGCTACACACTAATTAATTACTTATAACAATGAAACAGTGATGGGCCTAACCTCATTTTCACACCTGTCTTGTGTTTCATCTCTTAACACATGAAAATTCGGTTGCTTATTTTGGCAATAATTGAGCTGACTCACCTTACTTATTTGCCGGCACATTGTACAAACAAACGTGAGTACTTTGAAAGTAATTGGAAATTTTCTTTTTAAATAAATTGAGATTAGTTGTTTTTCAAAAATGATTATGGAGATATAAATCTTTGTCTTAGATTAACAAAGAAGAGTTGGTGTTTATTTAACTAGAATCAAAAGGAGTATTGCGTAAATATCATATCTAACGTATCTATGCACATTACAAAAAATTGTTAAATGAAAGAGTGAATAATAATTTTTTTAAAATTTTTCTAATTAAATATTGATATATCTTAAGTATTATTAATTTAAGATGATAGAAATAGTGGTGATTAAAGGTGATCTGATATATTATAATTTGGTTAATTTAAAAATTTGAAAATGATATAACTTTTTCTAATTTGTCGATAACATCTAAAGACGTAAAAAACATAAGCATGATCTTGATTTGAAAATAATATTTTGATAGGCATGTGAAAAACTCATGTGTTTTTTAATTTATCTTATTCTGTTTTTGAATTCATACCAGACTGAGGGATTTCGATCTTTCTTTAATGTGTTCTTATTATGTTCCAATCTTTTTTTAATGTGTTCTTATTATGTTTTTTTACAGATAGAGAGATCTAACTTGTTTGAATTCTGTATTTTGTGCTGTTTTTTTATTTTTATTTTATTTTTTCCTAGACTAGTTCCCCTTAAATGGTGGTTAGGTTGGTTGTTATTAGTTTTTTTATTTTATTTTATTTTTTATTTATTTTATGTTTTCTTTTTTCTTTCGGTCGTATTTGCTCCTTTACCTCTTTTCAGAGTTACCTTGTATTTTGGCTAATAGCATATTTCTTTTATTATCTATATATTACATTTTCCTTTCATAAAAAAAATGAGAGACATAAAAAATTTATAGTATTAATAAATTAAAAAAAATTAAAATAAAAAAAAACATTGAAATTTTAAATAATTTTTAATATCAATTAACATAAACTACACACACCTTCCTATAACTATTATAAATAATCAAAACCTTCACGTCATTAAAAAATATAGTTAAATATTATCATATTTTTAGATTTCATAAGAAAAAAATTCAATTAAACATGTTTTATCTTTTTGATACTCGACTCTAAATTCCAGTTAAATTTGTGTTCACAATCCAAACTCAAATAAAAATAAATAATTATATCTAAAATCCTTTTCAAACAAATTCACATATTCCAACTCCATTATTTTAAAAATTATATATATACTAACATGACACAGTTCTTCAACCATAACAATGGGAAAGGGTAGCAAATAATGGGGAAGAGTCACGTGAGGAGAGAACGTTTAGGCATTTTCACAAGACAAATAAGTGAAGCAACAGTCCAAGTACATTAATTGAAGAACTACATCACACCAACTAGATACAATAATGTACTGAGTTGGCAAACTCATAGATTTTGTGTACCCCATATTGCTACGTTTTCGATACTATTCATTTCACTCATCAATCTCTCTGCCCTATATATAAGCCACCTCCATTTCAACTTTAATTTTAAGCTAAAACCTATCTAGCTTCCCTTCAAAACAAAAGGAATATTCTCCATACCTATTCTCATACCATGACTCACTCTCACAATCCCATGATCTTTGTCGTTGGAATTCTAGGTATTTTCATTTCTATACCAAAAACGAAAAAGTTCACATCTCTTATTTTATATATATTATGAATACATATATCCTTCTCACAACAAATAAATGACACATATTTTTTTCATTGAAAAAACAATATTTTTCTCTCTTGTAGGTAACATTGCCTCCTTCTTTTGCTTTATAGCACCCATGTAAGTAATTTAAGTCCATACATTCATTAATAGGATTTCATACTATGAAAGCGTGCAAGACAATTATTGCAGTGTTTAAAATTCAGAAATATGGTTTTGCAGATCCGTATTTTATCGAATTTGTAAGAAGAAAACAACCGAAGGTTTTCAATCATGTCCATATGTGGCTGCACTTTTCAGTGCAATGCTTTGGATATTTTATGCTTACATTAAAACTGGCGAAATGCTTATCATCACCATCAATGCATTTGGTTGTTTGATAGAAACAATTTACCTTGTCATCTATATCACTTACTGCCCAAAACAAGCTAGGGTAAGTATATACAGTTACTTCTTCAATATTTATTTTATAACATCCTTTATTATATGGATGACGTAACACTTCGAACTCTAATACTCGCAGTTGTGTGTGTGAGTTTTTAGTAGTTATTACGACCGACAAAATGAAAATTTATATTTTTTGTTTTGTTTTACTTTTTAGAACTTCACGTTGAAGCTGATTTGCTTGTTAAACTTGGGAGGAATTTGCTTGGTTATTGTTCTAACACATCTTCTAGCAAAAGAGCGAACAGCTCGAATCGAACTTCTTGGATGGATTTGTGTAGTTCTCTCAACTAGTGTTTTTGCAGCACCTTTAAGTGTTATTGTGAGTTTATTTACAAAATTTTCTTAATTACTGTTATAATTTTGTTATTAGTGATCACTAATCACTATGTATAATCTTTGTGGTAAATTTTAGAGAGTGGTTATTCGAACCAAAAGTGTTGAATTTATGCCTTTCACTCTTTCACTTCTCCTCACAATAAGTGCAATCACGTGGTTGATTTATGGTATTCTCCTCAAAGACATCTTTGTTACGGTAAGTACTACTTTAATCTCCTCTTCGCTGTAACACAGACACTTCTGATGAAAAACATGTCTGCTGTCTGAGACGTGTCACTGACATTATTGTTTGAAACATGCTTTTTTTTGACAGCTTCCAAACATTGTGGGAATAACGTTTGGAATGATTCAGATGGTGTTGTATGGAATATACAGAAAGAACAAGCCTGTAAACGATGAAAAGCTACCAGAACACAAAGATGAGATCAATCAGCTGCAGATAGTAGTGATCAGTCATGAAAACGTTGTTGATGTTGAAAGAGGAGAGAATAAGGAAGAGAAGGAACAGGAGAAGAAACAGGAAAAGGCAGGATCAGAGGAACGGGTTGAAGAACAACCACAGAAAGAGGGTTGAGATGTTTAATGTCTCTCTGCTCCCATGAGTGTTGCTCAAGTTCATGTAATAAAATCGTAATATATGGAGGGTAGAGATGTCAATTTATATACATAACATATCGATCAATTATGGCATAGTTAGTTCTATATATGTGACTTCTGTTTTGTTTTATGTCATTTAGGCATCGAAACATAAAGTTCGTACAAATTATATATAAATCATATTAGAGGTGTATTATGTAAATAATAGATATGTTTATATTTATTTTTGTTTTACCATTATTATTATCACAACCGCTAACCACCACCGTTTACCAATGCAACCACTAAGAATCTCTGGTTGCGGAATTCTTATTGGTTCTTTGAATATCAGTTTTTTTTTTGGAGAGAGTGATAAGTGAGTTTGGAGACACGCTAGTGATTGTTCATTTTTTGTAGTTTTTGTTTATTAAGTCCTATCAAATCATGCTCTTATCTTTGATGATTATTTAGATAGTGCGATCCAATCTCTTCCTTTGACTTGGGAGAACTGGATTCCTTCCAAGGTCGTAGTGTTTTTTTTTAGCAGTTCCTTTTGAGATAGATTTCTATTTAAGGAAAATCTTTTTAAGAGAAAAGTCATTATGAATATGAAAGAGATCTTGTGTATCATTTGGTTAGAGTTAACCTCTCATTTATTTATAGCCTATAGTTTGACTTCCAATATTTGATATAGGTTTTTTAGGTGGTTAGAGGTGTATTTGACCCTTCCCAAAAATCTTAGGCAAGTTTTTGAGTTTTTTCCCCCTTTCATTAGGAGTAGATTTACTATGATTGCACATGTGGTGGTGTGGATTATTTTGTATGTTCCCAAGGATTTTCTCCGGTTCGTCAATAAATGTGAAAGAAGTGAAATATAAAATTATTGTTTTGGTTTGGTGTTGGTTTTCTAACACATCCTCTATGAGCTCTATCTCTTCCACTGATGGACATTAGAATTCTATCATGTGTTTGAATCAATAGTGTGGATCAAGACTTTTTTGACCCCAGATGTTAGTGGTTTCTTTTGGCATTTTACCTGCATTTTAGTCTTCTGTTGGTGGATTTTATTGGACATGTAACTTCATAGGGGAGGGGGTGAATTGTGTATTTCAAAAGAACTTAGATTTGAAAAAGTTTTAGGATTAAAATAAGAGTTTGAAAATATTTTAGAAAAGTTTTAAAAATATGCAGCGGAAAATAAAATTGCAGAAGATAAAATGCAAAAATATAAAAAGTTAAGAGAAGAGAAAAGACAATAGAAGTTATAGAGGTCCAGTAAAAAAGAGCCTTTATCATAGGATGAGTTTTAAACAAAACTTGATTTTATCATGGACTAACCAATAACTTATGAGATTTGACCATTAGGATGATCTCGAAGCTTGAAAGCTTTTGAACAGGCTAAACTTTCAAACCCAAATGGAGACTTGATCACACAATCCCTAAATGGATGAAATGTTCAAACAAGGTAAAACCAAAACTCCCTTAGTAAACTTTACAAATCCACCCTTCCAAAGTACAACTTCCTCACTTGCAAAATGACTTTTTCGAAAAGTATTACGGCTAAAATTTTAGTGAGAGAAAGTAGACAAAAATGTTTTCTAGAGAGAGTGAGAAGTGAGAAATGAAACCACAAATTTGGATTTGAAAATATGCCTCTATTTATAGGCTCGATGTTGGTACAAAAAAGAAAAAGTTTTAAGGCCTATAATGAGTAGCCAATCGATATGCATCATGCTCAAATCAATTGGTAGGCCTAAATTAATTAATTAGTAAGCTCAAAAAGGTGAGAAAAGATATTTAGCCATTACCAGTCATTAAATTGTTGTCCTAATTGATTTGGAAGCATTTTTGAACTTCTTCAATCAATTGCCATAAGGTGACAATTGACTGAAAAAAGCAAAAACTTGCCCATATATTTTCTGACTATTCCTAACTTGTCTGGCACGACTTCAAAGCATTTTTAGACATGTTTTCTTGAAAAAAATAAGTTTGAAAACTTGTTTGTGTGTGTGTGTGTTTATTCATGCACTTTTACGAGAAAACCCTTACGCTTTTACAATATAGTTACTCAGACATGTCGAGATAGTCTTTCTTATACTTTAAGACTTGTCGGATGCTTTATCCTTGTAGACACTTGCTTGAGCTTGAGTTATATTCCAAATGGTTTCCATAATCAGAAAGTCAAGTCCATTAGACCTTAATGTTTTGGTTTCATCTTTAGTCTCTCTTTGGTTATCATCAAGGACTTATTGTCATCATCAGAGACATGTTTATCTTTAATAGTTGTCATCATCAAAAGCATGTTCCATGATCTATAAAACAAGGTTCCAAATATTTTTGTTATGAGATCTAACTTGGTCCCTTTTGGTTGGTGTTTGTTGTACGGATTTATTTCTTGGTTTATAATTTTCCTTCTCTAGTTGCATTTGGTGTATTCGGGCGGTTGTATTTTTTCCTTGTTTCTTCCGTTTTTCTTTGTTGTAGTTGATTTGGCTATAACTTGTTGGTTCAACACCCCTTATTCCTATTGACTTTTTTTTTATTCTATTGGGCTTTTTTGTCCCTTATTTAATATATTATTTTACCATTTAGAAAATGTCTTTTAGAGTAGTTTTCCCGTACGCATCCCAACAAGTATTGGATTGAATAGAAAGCCTTAGATTTGCAATGTATATAGAAATATGGCTCCTCCATATTCTACATCAAGGACATTGGATAATCATAAATTAAAATCAAAACAATCAAGACTTTGTGCCATGTTGTTTCTAAAAATACCACCACAAGCAGCCATGTTAGAGTCTCCATGAGCAATGTCATCAGTGTTACACTTGTCCATGCTAAGAGAGGGGACTTGCATATGACCTCTTTACAATACGATCCTTAGGATGGGAAGGGTTCACATAAAAAGCTTTAAAAGTGGTGAAGTCTCGAATGGAGGAAGATGTTGTTGGCTTGGTGATATTACCATGTAAAGAAACATAAGATATGAGCATTGCAAAATAAGATTTCTAGCATATGAATTTATGGTTGAAACTTATTTGACCTACTTTATCAAATTGAATTAATTATATTGATAATAGAAGCAAAGATAAAAATCTTGCATTGAAGAGACTAACCAAAATTGCAAATATCTAGAAAATTAAAAATTGAACATAATTGACAATAAAAACAAGTGTGTGAAAAATTCAATATAATTGCAACAGAGACTGCATATAGATGAATACCATATTATCCCATTGGGGAGTATATATGTCTTGTCCATCAATGTTAATGTCATATTCATTGGCTTTACTTCTTTGCCTAATTTCTTCATAATTAAGAGCGGTATTAGACTAATGTTTTCCCCAAAATCACATAATGTAACTAGAATATATAGGCTTCCTCTAGTACATACAATGATCAAGCTATCTAGAAAGGGTCATTTAAGTGGAAGCTTCCTTGGAATTATGGCACGGCAAATTTATAAAAGATTGGTTGTTTTGTCACTTGGAAGTATTCTCTTCCTAGTTAGAAGCTCTTTCATGATTTTTGCATATGTTAGAATTTGTTGTTATGCTTCTACAAATGAGTTAGTGGCATGTAAGTTGTTGAATAGTTCAAGTAATATTTAGTAGTGACCTTCCTTGAAGGTTTCATGGTCTTAAGATTGGCAACAATTTTGGTAAAACATGGTTAATTTGGAGAACATATAACACAATAAGAAGTTGAGCAAGATGTCGTGACATCTTAACCAATTGGTACAGTAGAGTCTGCTGATATGTTTCTTGACATATGTTATGACAGATGTTGTGACATGTTATACAAGAGTCTGCTGATATGTTTCCTGACATATGTTATGAAAGATGTTGTGACATGTTATATAAGAAATTCAATGCAGTTCTGCAATTTAAATCCTTGAAGATTTGATTTTGAAATAAAATATTTTGGATGTCTTATGTTTTCATTCAGGCGCAGCTAGGCAAGTATTTTGAAATAAAATTATTTTATGCTAAAATTGATTCATAGAAATACTCAATGACTCTTTAAATAAATGAATAAATATTCTAAAATTAAAGTTTCAAAAAATAAAATAAAAAATAAACAATAAAACAAATCTTCACATGCTTATAATTAAACCAAAAATCTAGAATTCAAATTTTCTAAAATTTAAAGAATCAAAACCTTAATTTAGTAATTACTAAAATTGGATCACAATATTTTGAGATTCACTATTAAGTGTTATAGAAAGGTAATTGATCTTTCAATAAATTATATATAATAATCAAACTAAATATATATAATGAAATTCACATATACACCAAATAATTCTTTAACTAAATTATTTTAAAATCAATAAAATTAATTCTAAAATGAAAAGTATCCAGAATTTACAAATAATATATAATAATTAAATATATTAAAAAAATTAGTATTTGTGATCTTACCAAATAACCTGAGATGGGGCAAAGACAAGCGTATGTGATGCTGAGTGTAGAAGAGGAGGATGGAGTGTACCTGCAAGGCGCTTCGATGCTAAAGTAAGAAAATGAGCAAGAGAGAATATTGGATACCTGACCCTCTCAAATGAGAGGGTTTTTATAATGACTCCAGCGCTTGGTCATTGGTCCCTATTTTCGAGGCGAGATAAACATTTCTCGAAGAATAGATACCTTCCAGAACTAGCCGTTGGGACGGGCAGACGTGCCCATAACTAGTCGTTGGGGCAGACAGAGACGTAGTTACGGGCACAAGCGTGACGGGAAGAAGTGTTGTGACCAAGAGTAAATAGGTCAGCCTCCCCTGTTAGAGGGACAGAAAGGTAAACTTTCCACCAAAGAAGTTGGACTTAGGCAATTGTGCCGTTCTGGGAGCAGAAGTGGATTTGGTCATGCCTAGCTATTGACCTAGTCCGGAACACTTTGTCTTACATCTCAAAATCTAAATTCATGTAAAGATTTTATGTAAATCAAATTGAAAGATAAAGTAATAATTTAAAAATCAAATAAAAAGATTTGATAA